TATCGAAGTACAAAGTGAGATCATCTACCGGAAATTCTTAAAACCAAATCTATGAAGAACACCAAGAGAACTCGTGGTGGATGCTTATTTATGATAAAACTACTCTAATGTTTTGGCACACACCTAACAAGAGGCTAAAAACAAGTATGTATAGGCCCTGTAGTCTTTCTAGGGTTAAGTTTAGGGCGAAAAGGTCTTTTTAGTGAAAACTACTCCAAACACCAATCCACTGCAACGGTCAAAGAATCCGACCGGAACTAGGCTCAAAAGTGCCTTATCTTCGTGATGGCATCAGTCTTGAACAACGGTCCGTGGACTGGCCCAGTGCTAGACTCGTTTATGCACTTACTTCATTTCGGAGCAGTTTGACATTAGTAAATCTGGTGTATCTTCTTGCTCACAGCTCTAAATAAAATAATTCAAACTCCATTGGAAATATAACTCAAACATCTATCTTAACACCAAGTTTCATCCAATATCAAGTCTATTTGATCCTCCGTTAATCGCTAAACTTCTGGCGTATATGTTTTCTCCAACTTGGTAAAATGTGGTATCTTGTGAAATCTTTGTCGTTGATGATGTATTTGACTTGTGAAGTTGTTGTAGCTTGGTTTACAACTTCTTAAGTTTTTTTTGCTCCTTTTTGATTGATTTTCCTGTTAAGACTCTAAAACTACAAATACGAAGAAATTTTTTTATAAAGACATAAAACCGTGATAAAATGCATAGAAAAAATATAGAAATACGTAGTAAAATAGTTAAAACATAAGATATATCAAACCTCACCACGGTAAAGAAATTTGGGTCGGGGTGTTTCAGTTAGCCCATGATCTTACTCTGTAGAATGAGATTCATTAGACTATAAACAAGTCTAAGAGTGAGCCCACAATCATTTTTTTTGGCGGTCCACAATCAATTTGTACCACATCTAAGTAAACCTCCAGAAATCTCATCACTTTTTCATACCAAATCCCACCAGATTACAATCAATCTTCCGACCTTGTGTACAAGCACGTCTTCTAATTACAATCCATCCATGTACACCACATGCAATGGGTATTTATAACGAACCAATGATAACGGTCGCTTGCTAGAAGATGTCATTAATAGTTCAAAGTATCACCATGAACATGAATCAAGTGATGGTAGCATCTTTTCTCTCCATGAGCTCATCTTGTAGACTGATGCAGTAACATGCAAATTAGGCTTAAAATTTTCATTAAAGAGGGCAAATTATTTAGCGCTCGGAGTAATTAGCTTTGGTGAATGATTTAGCACCATGGAGTTTAAGAACCAAATATTAGATTTATTTATTAGTTAATTGGACCAGTTTTGGAGGTGTTTAGATCTGATTCTTCAAAATTCTACTTAAATGAATAAAGTCTTGTTTTACATAGACCTCTGAATGCTAAGTAATTTGGCTTGAGGAACACTCGCGGAAGAGTGGCTAGACTGAAACACTCCGACCCTGCCTCTCTAGACCGCGGTTAAGGTATTCCGTGTTTGGACCACTTTCTGGCCGCACTTCTGGGTCTTAACCCATTTTAGGATCAACTGCCTTTTAAAGGTTTATATCATTAGGATCTTTTCTACGACTCTTCCTAGCCGTTTCTATTAGATCCGTTCACAATTAATATATGCAGCAGAAAATCTTTTATCGTTCAAATCCTCTAACCGTTCTAAGTTCATTCACCTGAACTAGTCTTTGTACCGGTTAACTTGATATGTGCCTTCGGATAGTCCCTTTAGCCGGAATCATTCGGTCTCAAGCGCTCATCCTATCTATTGGCCTCCGTTCGGCTTAAGATTTATTATACTCGGTTACGTCAAGCAAGTCTAAACATTCGGTTGTTCTCTAAACTAACCAGCCTAGATCTAGTAAGTATCCAATCGATCTACAAGAAGGTTTAGGCCTCACCTTGGCCAACACGCTGATCCGGTTTGACTCCAATCCTTTATTCATGTATTAGCTTC